TGGTAACAAAAAAAAAATACTTAAATATTTTTTTAACTTTGTGGATTGAGCAACCGCTGTAATACCAAAATCGTTTGTGTCGACCCCACTCTGTCTCGCTCGGATTATCTGGATGCCGCTCGGTCCGCGACACGCGTCCCTTTCCCTTTCACGTCGGTTTGGGCGTGCAGTCGAGTGGCTCCGGGACTGGTGAAGTGATGGTGTTCATGAGAATGATGGTGATGGCAGCCCGTGTGCGTGTTCACGGCAGTCGCGCCTTGGGGGTGACCTGGCCCAGGAGAGCCCAGGACCGCATGGGGTTGTACGAGGTGTCCAGGACGCGGAACAGCAGCCAGCCGCACAGCGCGTAAAAGAGGACGACGCACGTGTGGTGAACGTAGTACATTCTGCGTGCAAGAAGACATCGAGTTAGTCGCCACTCTCTCGGAAGGCTCGGGAGCCCTCCTCCCGTCGCCACGCTACTTACATCCTGAGGTTGCGGCGCGCGCGGGGCAGACTGCTGAGGGGCTCCTTGCAGCAGTACTGGCGCGACCCGAGCACGATGGTCTTGATGTATTCGTTTCTGTCGACGGGGATCTCGTTGTTGATGAAAAAGATCTCCTTGTCGCGCTCGTTCAGGGACGGCCACAGCGCCCAGGCGCGGTCGTTGCGGAAGTCCCACTCCCTCATGGTGAAGTACTGGAGCACGCTCATGCCGGCGGCAATCCTGCGCTGCACCCGCACCATGCTGCAGACACACCCGATCATTAGACTCCAGTGGTTCAGGTTTAGTGAAGCCTATTGGTGATAGATATAGCGGGGGCGGGGGGTACTCACAACGTCTTCTGTCTGGCGAGTGTGAGGAGGAGGTCGATGAAGTAAGCGGGCAGGGTCTGGAAGAAGAAGACGATGAGGGTGTGGGTGAGCCAGTTGGTCCTGCTCGCGCCGTCCGGGTACCACAGGATGGTGTCGAACGGGTGCTCGCGGATGCAGTCCTTGCCCAGCTCGATGATCTCCCGCCAGGTAATGCGTTGCACTTTGTTGGACGAGACGTTGTAGACCGGCGTGCTGGACGCCTCGGCCGGCCTGTCAACACGAACCCAGACTCGCTAACGAAACGGACAACGCCGACGACGGCATCGCGTACTTTCGACGAGGAAACACTTCGCGTTGGCGTCGCAGTTTCTCGCTGCGGGGCGTGAAGGGAGCCCACTTACGTCATCAAGGTGCGCTTGTAGGCGAGTAGGATGAGTGCGTTGATGCACAGGTCGACGGGCACGACCTCGGCGTGGTTCTTGTCGTCACACATCATGGAGCGCAGCACGCCCTTGCCCGAGGCGATGAGGATGCCCGTCGGCCCGTTAAAGCTGTCCACCCAGCCGGGCATGGGCTCTCGCAGCGCGGCAGTCACTGTCGCAGGGGGAGCAGCCAGAGTCAGCATCGGGGCCAGTCACCAAACACATTATCGAGCCCCACACTGCCTTACCTATTGACGGCCTCGCTATTGACAGGGGCATTTTGGTGTGGTATTCATCTACCAGGGCCTCGGCCAGCTGTTTGGTGAATGTGTAGGTGTTTGGGTGCGCCCCCATCAATCTAATAGGACAGTAAAAATGATTTAACCAAGGATTTAACTTGAAATTAGCAGGACTGATTGCTGCAAGCTTGTCAGTGGTGGTGCTCACTCAGGTGCAAGGCTCTGAATGGTCTCCGTGGTCGATTCCGAGCAGAGCTTGATGATATAGTGGGGGTCCACGCGTGGCGGGTACACCCGTTCCTCCAGCACGTCCTGTTCGCAGTTGCAGAAGGCCGTGGATACGTACACGAAGGACTGTGGGACAGAACCATGGCGTGGGTCAGAGGGTCGGAACAACGGGTGCACTTTTGTAACGCGATCGGTCAGTTGAGCTCCTTACCACGAGCTGCTTGATCTGGCAGCAAAAGTCGAGCACGCGCTGCGTCCCCGCCGTGTTGTCCTCGACGGCCACCTTAAGCGGCGACTTGAAGTTGAGTGATGCGGCCATGTGGAAGACGACGGACACGTTTTCGAGGACGGTGCGCTGGTCGACCACGCTCAGGCCCAGGCTGGTGAAGCCCACATCTCCCTCGAGGGGCTGGACCTTATCCAGCGCGCCGGGCCGCTCCTTGAGCAGACGCTCGAACACCTGCAGGGAGAACAAGTCACTTTACTGCAACACCCGCATGGCATTTGCCGGCGCCAGGCCGTCAAAAGATGGGATCTGGAGCCGCGAGGCGCGCCTCGTAAAAATGCCACGAGTTCACGAGTCTGCCGTACGCAATATCCGCGTGCAAATAACTTGTTTTTATCTCCCGCGCCTTGGGGCGCGTGCCGCGCGCGCGCGCCTGCGTGCGGCGGCCCGTGCGGGAGTTTTGCATTTGCTCTCTCCCGTGGGTGCGAGCTGCGCGCGCGGCGCGGGGCCGGCGCGGGGTCGCCGTCGAGGTCACCGCTCGGGTTTGGGCGCCCCAGCAGCAGCCTGGAGACTCCGGCAGAGGCTCCGGGAGGCCCCCATTCATCCATCTCTCTCCTGGCCTGGAGGCGCGCTGCTCTGTCGATACGTGCCGATCGTCTCGTTTTGGCGCCGCCGACTCGCTACAGGTGTGCAAAAGGGGCCCCGGGGGACGGGCGGTCAAGCAGCCCGCACCCGAGCCCGCGCCGGGCCACACCAGACCACACCGCCGGGCCCTCCGCCTCCGCCCGGACCGGTTTGCTTTTTCGGGACTGCGGCTGCGGCCGGCCGGCCGGCGGGGGCGACAGGGGCAACGTAGGCCACCGCCTTCAGCAGCGCTGTCGCGCGGGACTGCCTACCTCGATGTACGCAGGCGCGCTGCAGGGCGGGTGGGTTTGCCGGCTGGTGTTAGCGGACGTTCTTTTGGGGGGGCCGGGGGAGT